TATCGATATTATTTCCATTAGTAAAAATATAATAACTAATACTTATTAAGATAATATTATTTTGTACAATTTGCATAGTTTTGAATGTTTTCTTGAATCGTATACGTATTTAACCATTGAGCACACTGCGTGTTTAACTAACGTATAAAATATTAATTTTTTTTTGTATTATTATTGATAAGAATTAATTTTAGTTCTTTAAACATTTCTATTAAAAATAAGTAATATTACTTAAGTTTTCAATTTTTACTGGAAGTCTAAGAAATGCTTTTTAAGTACAAACTATTAATTCATGTGACCTGGCTTATTGTTTCTAAAAATATAAATTTCAGTTTTCGTATATTTTAGGTAATTCAAATATAACTATTATTTATAATACATTGATACGATAATATTATAAGTAAATTAGATAATAATAATTATTTAAGCCAGTTTTTAGTCAAATTATACTGATCACCAACATTTTGTTTTGATTTTGAACCATTCATATTTTTGATTTTAAATCGAATCGCTACGATGAATTGAAAAAATAAACATATCAAATTGTAAGTGGGTATCTATATACTGTTAAAAAAAACGAGCATGATTAATGGAGAGTCAGAAAGATATTTATACCAAATACCTACTTATTATGTATTCAACTACATATAACATTAGTATAGGTATACAGAGTACTATTTATTACAATATATACAAGAGATGCTTAAGTTACTCTACCCACGTCAAAATCATATCTTGATAGATCTGCAATAGGTACACACGCTTAAATACATTTCTTAAGTCCGAGGTTTGTCATAAAATATAGTGCTCCGTCCAAGGTTATACTAAACATCATTATAAACTAATCTAGGTTCTACTCAATGAATTAATTCCGTAGATTTAAATCTGATATAYAAAAGTTATTAATTGAATTTAAAAAAAAACCAACAATTTTCTTGATTTAAATATATAGTAATAAGAAATAACCTATATTCATCAAATGTTGACAGTCGATTTCTATACGTCACTCAAACAGAATTAAACAGTGTTCGAACAGTTTACTCATCAAGCAAAACGCCAATCACTATTGCCATCCCACATTTCTGAAAACAATAATTTCATATTAAATTCGTTACCATCATCATATACATATTGTTACTATGCTACCATGCTACCGGGTCATATAATTTCCTTCACTGAACTTTGAAGGGCGGTGGCACACCCATCGACAACGCTTCAACGCTTCTACATTGTACAAATATTCTATATTTTATACTTATAATTGTATCAGTTGACAGTTATACAATATACAATATACATACAAGGGTAAAACATACAAGAAGTTGATTTCTTTCCTAACTTTACCCCATAATCTCATACTGTTTTAAAAATAATACCTACCTATTATGTTAGAAATTCGTCTCGATTGTTTCATATACAGTTCGGCATAAGATATATCACAGTCGTACCTGCATACCTATACCTATTATTATTATTATTGCATTTGAAAATCAATTCTAACCAGACTTTTCTACTTTCACTACATTCAGAATATATTTTATTGTATAATAATGRTAACCATTAAACACGTACTTATAATTTATTCCCAAAACAAAATAATAAAACATTTATGAAAAAAAAAATTAATTAAGTAAAATACTTTAAAAAATGTCACGGGCTATATTATATTTGATCTTTATTGATGTTAAATAATAATAACTACTAGAATTAGTAGAATTACTAACTAACTACATTTTATAAATCAAGTTTATTCTCTTGTCGTATAATTTTAAGCAGTATATTTTTAAAATTAACAACATTCATTTTGCAAAGTTGATTTTTGATTAACATCATAAGAGTGGTCTGGTAAAAGTTTTTGCATTTGGATTGTACCGACAAATCGTAAACGTCACGAAGTCACAGAAGATCAAAAAGTGATAAAAAAAAAACTTTTAAAAAAACAGGATATTTAAACTATAGGTGGGTACCTAATATATAACTTCGGCTGCWGTGTAAAAATCCAAAAAGGCCCTAGTCCTCATTAAATTTAAATATGTTTTTTATATTGTTTTATTGGTACCTATATCAGATTAAATTAAATAGAACGGTAAAACTTTACACTTCCAGATTTTTAATTAGTA